TCAGGGACTGAGTGCATGAGCAGCAGCTTAGGGAGTGAGTGAGTGAGTGAGAAGTAACTAATCCAGAGATATAGTGAGATTTACTTCGCATATCTAAAATAGCTCTCTCTTGTCAAAAAATATTAGCTAAAAAGGGTCCAGGAATACATTTTGGATTAACAGTAACAATTCCTTATGAACAAAAATTACAATACAAAAACAAATAAAATAGAAAGTTCTACGAAGGGCACTGACATAAAATAATATCACATAGTATTAACGTTGATTTCCATTGTGTAAAGTAAAAATATTATCATTTTCTTAATTTTTTCATATTTGATATTTCATGTCAAGAGGAAGAGGAAGAGGAAAATGGAATAAATAGAAAAGGTCACCGTACTTGGTTTAGAAAAAAATCCATTTAAAAAATAGAGTGAAAATAGGATATTTTGTCTGTTTTAGGGCATTTTACCTTTGTTTCCTATGGAACAGATATTTCTCAATATCACAATTTATGCTTGGCATAATAACTATGATTGACAGCGAACCAACAATTTTTACATATTGTTGACTAGTACTAAAACCAATAATTGTAAACAGATTTTGACACAAAATATTGCTACTGCCATTTGTGCTAAAATATGTACACATGTGAAAATCTTGTGAGTAGCATTCTAACTAAAGCAAAAGGTTAATTATTCCTGGAAATCAATCATTAGAAATGAATCTTTAATATTCATAATATCACATTCTGAACATTTGAGAATGCAGTAATAAATTATAGAAGAACTTAATGATGGTCAAACATACTGTTTTGTAGGTCAAGGGAAATTAAACAATTAAATTGTCCTAGCCCTAAACGAAAAGGAAACCCAGCAAAATCACAATCACATTTTCCCTGGGGTTCATTATACTAAGGTACTTCATAAATAAGATTGCCACTGCATACTAAAATTTCAATTACAAGTAACAGCATTAAATGAAAAATCATTCAACCAAGCGGCACATTACCTAATTATAAAAGCATACATAAAAACATCTTACAATAATTAAATAAAAAAGCGCATTTTCAGATTGTTTTTGCCAATTACACTAATCATAGAAAACAAAATGAATGACAATTTTGTGAGAAGATTAAATGTAGACTGATAAGTGAGCACTGAACCTCTGACC